GAAGGGAACTTCCTCAGCCTATTGAAGAGCATCTATGAAAAACCTATAGCTAATGACATACTTAATGGTGAAAACTGAATACTTTCCCCCTAAGATCAGAACAAGACAAGGATGCCCACTCTCAATAACCTCTATTCAACATTTTACTGCAAGTTCTAACCAGTGCAACAAGGCAAGAAAAATAAAAGACATAAAAATTGGAAAGATAGAAGTAAAACCTGTCCCTGTCCCTGTTTACATAGAAAACAGAAAAGAATTAACAATAAAACTACAGTAACTAATAATGAGTTTTAGTAAGTTATCAGGATACAAGGTAAACTTAGGAAAATTCTATTTCTATATATTAACAGCAAATAATTGAAATTAATGAAATTAAAAAAACAATTCCATTTACCCAGCATCAGAAAACATAATTAGGAATAAGTTTAACCAAAAACCAAAACTCTTGCATTGAAAACTACAACACATTGCCAAGAATAATTAAAGACCAACATAAATTGATAGATATACCATGTTCTTGGATTGGAAGACAAAATATTAAATTATCAGTTCTCTCCCAAATTGATTATATTATCGATTCAAGGCATTCCTGATCAAATGCTTTTTAAAAAATAGAAATTGACAAGTTAATTTTAAAATACGTTGATATGCAAAGGATCTACAATACCCCAAATCATCTTGAAAAAGTTCACTGAACCTGGAAGACTTACACTACCTGACTTTCAGACTTACTAAAAAGATACAGTAATCAAGACAGTGTGTATTGGCCTCAGGATAGGCAAATAGATCAATAGAACAGAAGAGAGAGTCCATAAGTAAGCCACACTTACAGAGTCAATTGATTTTTGACAAAGGCACCAAAGCAATCCTATGGAGAAAGGAAAGTCCTTTCAACTAATGGTGCTATAACAACTCCATGTCCATACAGTAGAGGGGGAAAAAATGAACTGCAACCTCTACCTCATATCATAATTTTTGAGCTGGGTCATCTGTTAAAGTGTAAAAGACAAAACTATAAAGCTTTTAGAAGAAAACATAGGAAAATATTTTCATGACCTGGGAATAGGCAAAGATTTCTTACAGGACAAAGAAAGCATAAAAGAAAAAAGAATATTGAGTTAGGTTTCACCAAAATTAAAATTTCTGTTCATTAAAAAAATACTATTAAAGGCCAGCCCCAGTGGCCTGGTGGTTAAGTTTGGCACGCTCCACTGTGGTGGCCCGGCTTTGGTTCCTGGGTGCAGACCTACACCACTCGCCATGTGGTGGCGGTGGCCCACATACAAAATAGAGGAAGATTGGCATAGATGTTAGCTCAGGGAGAATCTTCCTCAGCAAAAAAAAAAAAAAAAAAAAAATTACCATTAAGAAAGTAAATAGGCATGCCACATAGTAAGAGAAAATATTCACAAAACATATCTGACAAAGGACTTTTTTCAGACTATGTAAAGAATTTTAACAGCTCTAATAAAAATACAAACATTATTATTAAAAACAGGCAAAAAAAACACACTTCACAAAGAAAATATACGAATGGCCAATTAGCTCATGAAAAAGTGCTCAACATCATTTGTTGTTAGGGAAATGCAAATTAAAACCATAGTGAGATTCCACTTAATACCCACTCTAATGGCTAAAATTTAAAAAATTGACAATACTTGGGGGGCCAGCCTGGTGGCGTAGTGGTTAAGTTCACTCCCTCGTCTTTGGCGGCCTGGGGTTCGAAGGTTTGGATCCCCGGCATGGACCTACACATTGCTTATCAAGCCATGCTGTGGCAGGCGTCCCACATATAAAGTAGAGGAAGATGGGCATGGATGTTAGCCCAGGACCAATCTTCCTCAGCAAAAAAGAGGAGGATTGGCAGCAGATGTTAGCTCAGGGCTAATCTTCCTCACAAAAAAAACTAAAAAAAAAAATAAAAGACTGACAATACCAAGTGCTGGCAAAGATTGGCATAACAGAAACTCTTACATGTTGTTGGTAGGAGTATAAAATGGTACAACCACTTTGCAGAACTGTTTGGCAGTTTCATAAACGTTAAATCTATACATCCTCTTTAATCCAGAAATTCTACTCCTAGGTATTAACACGGAATAAATGACCCATAAGCATGAAAAGGTATTGCACTTCACTTGTCATTAGGTAAATTAAAATTAAAACAACGAGATGCACACTTTATTTATTTCTATTATTTATTTCTTTCAGAATGGCAAGGATTAAAAGATGTTAATGAGGAGGTGGAGCAGTAGGAATTCTCATGCATGTTTTGAGGAGTATAAGTTGATTTGGTCGCTTTGCAGAACAGGTAGTGAAGCTGAAGATATGCATACACTCCAGCCCACCAATTGCGTTGCTAGTGGTACATCCCAGAGAACTCCAACAGAGCTCTAGAAAGCACATGTATCATAATGTAGACTGCAGCACAGTTTGCAATTTAAAAGAAAGGGAAGGGCCGGCCCCGTGGCTTGGTGGTTAAGTGCGCGCGCTCTGATGCTGGTGGCCCGGGTTCAGATCCCGGGCGCGCACCAAGGCACCACTTCTCCGTCCATCCTGAGGCCGAGTCCCACATACAGCGACTGGAAGGATGTGCAGCTATGACATACAACTGTGTACTGGGGCTTTGGGGGGAAAAAATAAATAAATAAAATCTTTAAAAAAAAAAAAAAAAAAGAAAGGGAAGCATCTTAGGGGCTGGCCTGGTGGCTTAGTGGTTAAGTTCGTGCGCTCCAGTTTGGCACCCCCCGGGTTCGAAGATTCAGATCCTGTGCACGGACTAATGCACTGCTCATCAAGCCATGCTGTGGCAGTGTCCCGTATACAAAATAGAGGAATATTGGCACAGATGTTAGTTCAGGGTACCAAAAAAAAAGGAAGCATCTTAAATGTTCATCCACAGAAGGATGGATGAATAAATTGTGGTTTATTCATAACAATACCAATACAGAGTTAAAATGAGTGAACTAGAGTTACAGGGAGAAATCTCAAGGGAGGAAAAGGCAAGGTGAAAAATTATACAAATTGTCTGATACTATTTATATAAAATTTGATCTATATATAAAACACATTAGGGCCGCCCCCATGGCTTAGAGGTTAAGTGCACGCGCTCTGCTACTGGCGGCCCGGGTTCGGATCCCGGGTGCACACCGACGCACCGCTTCTCCGGCCATGCTGAGGCCGCGTCCCACATACAGCAACTAGGAGGATGTGCAGCTATGACCTACAACTATCTACTGGGGCTTTGGGGGAAAAAAAATAAAATAAAATAAAATAAAAAATAAAGTTTAAGAAGTGATTCTCGACCCTGAGTCTCAGAATTGCCTATCAAACCCTTAACAAATTAAACATAATTGGGGCTCACCGTGGGAAGCACTAATTAGGTCCAGGGTTAATGCATCAGGCTGGAGTGCCAGTTTCTGTAACATCACCTTCATAGATGATTCTAATACTCAGGAATGGTTGAGAATCTTTGCTCCGTAGTCTGTGGTTTATGGGACCAGGAACTGTGTTTTTCTTGTTCTCCACCATATCCTTAGAGCCTGGCACACAGTAGGTGCTCAATAAGTATTTGTTGAATGAATAAATGAAAAAAAAAGACATTGTTACTGCCCTCTAAAGCTAATAGTCTCTCAGGAAAGGCAGACAATTAAACATGTTATAATGAATATTAAATGAAATATAATAATGAAAAATATAATAACGTATGTAATAATATTGACTGCATTGCTTGGCATATAGTGGATACTTAATCAATGTTAGTTGAATCTTTATGTAATAACTACTAAATCCACATGTTTAGCTTTAGTCACTGACTTCTAGCCTTAAGAGGAAAATAAAATTAATTAATATAATTTGTATAATCCCAATTTTCAGTTGCTTACAGAACTCTTATAGATGTTCCACCATCATTTCAAATTTGGCATTTCTAAACCTGAAAGCAGCTTCTTTTGCCTCTCTCCTCACTCTTCAGTCTAATTCTTCTCCAGCTATCTAATTTTGTCGCTTACACCATCTTCCTTCCGTTTGCCTGAGCTAGAAGCTTTGCAGTCATCTTTGATTCTTTTTTCTGCACGTGTTTTGAAGTACTCATTTCTTCTGAGCCATGTTTTCTGCTCATAGCTTGATGCTGGTTCTCTAAGATCTCCATGAGGCAACAGGGTATAGTGGTTGAGAACACAGACTAGTGTCAGACAGTGGGAGTTTGATTCCAGGTCTGTCATCTGCTAGCTTGGTGACTTTAGGTGAGTTCATCTGTCTGTGCCCTTATCTGTAAACAACCATAGGGTTGTTGCGAGAATTAAGTGGTCTTCAAATGAACAGTGGCTGGTATATAAATGCACTATAACTGTCAGCTATTAATGCTAAGTATTTTGTCTCTTGAGTTAAATTGTAGCTCCATGAAGACAAATATCATGCTGTGTATTTCTTTAGTAGCCCCTCTTTAGTACCTATCATAGTAGAAGGCATATAGGAGGCTCAAAAATCCTTGTCAAATTTGAGAATATGGTAGTTATTTTGCTTTATATTTAATAGTGTAAACATCCATTTTTCTTTAAAGCCAGAGAAATAATTTCACAACTTCCTTAGAATCTAATTCTTGCTACCTGAAAACAAAATTAATATAAACATGAAATTATAGTGAGGCAAATGAATGTGTTTTTAATGAAACAGTTAATAATTAGAACTCTTTATATTGACAATTGAAAAGTCTTGTAATGGGAATAAATTTCAAAAGTGGATGTACTGGGTGTTTCCCCAACCTCACTAAGCATAACAGCCACCTGGAAGGCTTGTAAAAATACAGATTTCCAGCCCCTAATCAAGACCTCTTGAATCAGAATCTCCAACAGTGAGGCCTGAGAATTTGTTGCTGTTTTCTTTTTTCCTTCCTTTCTAGCCCTGGGTGATTCTTATGGGAGACAATTTTAGATAATGTTCATGCGGATAATGTACTTTCTTTTGAAGGTTTCAACTGAATTTCTTAGGCAAAATACTTTAATCCAGCCATTCATATTTCTTTGCCTTATTTCTAAAACACTTCAGGCCTGAGGACTTGCGCCGTGAGTTTGGTCGATATGGCCCTATAGTAGACGTTTACATTCCACTTGACTTCTACACCCGCCGCCCAAGAGGATTTGCTTATGTTCAATATCCTTTATTTTACTTTGTGCATGTGAATATGCTACATACATGTGCATATACATATATGTATTATATATACATATGTATTCAGGAGCATATGTTATGAGATTAATATTGCCTAATTAAATGTGTTTATTTCTTTATCTCAGAAAATCTAAAGCAGTCCACAGTAGCTGGCAAGCGCCCCCCAGTTTGAACCAACCTGTTAGCTAGAATCCAAGCATAAACCCAGCAGGCGAGACAAAAGGCACCTAAAGTTCAAGCATCAAGTTGTAAAGAGGGAGGGTGGACACAGATATAAAGACCTGGAAGAGGGGAAGTCTTTATCAAGCAAAAGACAAAGCCAACACCAGGTTGAGACTTCGGCTTTCCTACATTTACTCAGAGTTCCAGAGTCAAAGCCAAGTCTGATTTTGTTGGTTCTGCGTCTCTTATAAAGTCCATCTTGCAAGCCTTAAAGAGTAAAGGTCAAGGTTCAAGATCAAGTGACATTGAGGTAATTGCCAAAGTCTCATTTTGTATTGCATTTCTTGAGCTTTTTCTGTTTTCTATTTTAAAAAAAATTAAATCAGTGAATAACCTCCTGAAATACAGCTAATTTAGTCATTTTCTATAGCTTATTTCCATTTTAGTTAGGTATAATATAAAATTTATATTGATAAGGGAGTTTAGTGGGGTATTATAAATCAATATATGTAATTCCAGATGGTCACAGATTGCTTTTATGTTTCTTTTATAATTATATCCCAAGTAATAAAAACATAAAGGTATTTTAAAGCAGTAGTTTCAAAGGTAAATATGATCATTTTTAAAGGACTAAATCAGTTTTTGAAAATATAATGTTTTAGCTCACGTGTGTGTACAGTTTTGTTTATAATAAATAGTTTCTCCTAAATGTCATAATTAAAAAGGCTTTTAATGAAAGAGTAATTTTAATTTCAGAATAAAGGCTTCTGCATGCTGATGTTTTTAAGTGAAAAGCCTCATGAATCTTGTACCTGAAAGAAGGGAGTGAGAGTCCTAACCAGTTTATTTTATAATAATAGCCAAGTTGGACTTATTTTTTTTCTCATAACATGTTTTAAATTATACATACTAGAACTACACCAATGTATATGTTGAAAGTATAGTTACATGTTTGTTTCTGTTCTTTTTATTTTTAGATTTACTCTTCTAAATTATAATTAGACATATGTTTTCATAATAAAAGTGAAATTTTTTCTGATTATTCATATTATATTGAGATGTGAGCTTAATAACAAACTTGTTTTTCCTATTAATTTCACATCACATGTAAATAATTCTTTAAAAATAATATTTTTACTTGATATCTGATGTTGAAGTATCCTTAACAGCTAGTCATATTTGAAGATGTTCGTGATGCTGAAGATGCTCTTTATAACCTCAATAGAAAGTGGGTATGTGGCCGTCAGATTGAAATACAGTTTGCACAAGGTGATCGCAAAAGTAAGTGTGACTAAACATTAGATCTTGTTTATTCAGCAGAGTGAGTTTCAGCAATGACAGATTTTTGTAATTTAAAACTCAGAAAGTAATACTATTTGAGCGGCTGTTATTGAGGTTTTTGGGTAGTGAATTATAAGTCTTGCACTTCATATTCTAGCACCAGGCCAAATGAAATCAAAAGAACGTCACCCTTGTTCTCCAAGTGATCATAGAAGATCAAGAAGCCCCAGCCAAAGGAGAACTCGAAGTAGAAGTTCTTCATGGGGAAGAAATAGGAGACGGTCTGATAGCCTTAAAGAGTAAGTACAAAATACAAGAGGATTGAAAACTTAATTTTCTACTTTATTTGGAAAACATTGTAAAGAGTTTTTTGATATGCTCTTCTCTATTTATCATGTATGGTTATTTAACATGGGTTTATTGGATACCTTCAGTGTTTTTATTTCATGACAGACTTTAACCTTTTTAATAGAAAGATAATATATACTGAAGAAAAAGCAAAAAATTAAAAAATATGTACTTGACTCATAAGAAATATCACTCATGAAAGAAGGTTGACTAAAATTAATGTAAATCAATGTATTTGTAAAAGGTAAATAATTTTCAAGTATAAATTCTAAGTATGATAGTACTGTAGGAAGAAGACATAAAAATAGTAAATCTTTCAGAAAAACATACTCACAAGTTGTGTATTTTGCTAGCCAGGTGTTTGCTTCTGTTAGAATACTCGTAAATCACAATGGAAGTAAATTATTTGGTGAAGCTATTTAAATAACTGAAATTGTATTAGCATGCCTAAATTCTTAAACATTTGTACTATTTATCTTGAGTTTTAATGCTGTAATTTTTTCATAGGCATGTAGAAATTTAAGGTGAATTTTGTTCTTAGAGAATGATCAGCATTTACACTAGTATCCTCTTTCTGTGAGTAATGAAAGAGTTAGCTCTCCCAGACCACTTGTAGTACATCTAAACTTATATAGACCCACATAGCTTCCAATCAAAGCTGATTACCAGGGCTGTTCACTTTCACTCCAGTTTCTCCATTCCTCAACTTTAAGAGCTTAGACAAGAATGGGGTATATGTACCCAAGTTCCTAGTTCTAAAAACAAGACTGTGAAGTGGCCTGGCTCCAGTGCCTTCAGCCAAATAGAAGGAAAAAATAGGAAGAGAGAACCACATCTACATCCTAAATGACTTTTTAATATCCAAGAATCCTGATTGCTAGAAAATGTGGCCTAGTCAGAGCTCTAGAATATTACATGTCAGATCAGTACCTCTCCTAGGGTATGAACCAAATGCTTTGATTTTGGCCCATCCTTAGGGAGGTGTTAGGTGAGTGGAAGCCCTATGCTCCCTTTATAAGCCAGGAGAATCCAGGTCAGGATTGAGCCATTATCAAGATTGCTGAAGAAATATTTAGGAACAGTCATGTTATATTCTGGAACTTGATCTTTTTTATCATACTCTTTCTGATAGTGTAAGAATATAAACCTCCCTTGCATCTGTGGAGAATAATCCAGTTTTTCCCATGGCTAAGGGAAAGCCATTTTTCCATTAATTGTTTATTTGAGATTTAGATTCTAATATATAGTTCTATACTCAAATAAAAAATTATATTTATAGAACTTAAAACATGGTGAGAGCGAATTAAGATTTTTAAAAAATTTTACATGCCTTGTGTATAGGGAAGCCACGCCAATACTAATGATACTACTTCTGGCTTCACAGAGGACATGAATAGTGTAAGGGAGTGATGTTCAACAGTTCAGACTACTGTGAATTTTATCTATATCTGTACACACACTATCATATATTATACATACATAGGCTATATGTATAACTATACATATATAGTTTAGCATAAGTTTAGAATGATGTGGATGGTACATATAAAATGAATGGTTTATATATCAGAGATCAAAGTAGATACAATGTTGTGTCTAAAGCAGCACTGTCCTAACTTAATGAATAATATCCACTGGCTTTGGTGAAAAAGACTTAGTTTGGAAAAGAAAGAAATTGCCCATTTGATTCATTAAGAATGTAAGTTGTCGGCCGGCCCCGTGGCTTAGCGGTTAAGTGTGCGCGCTCTGCTACTGGCGGCCTGGGTTTGGATCCCGGGCGCGCACCGACGCACCGCTTCTCCGGCCATGCTGAGGCCACGTCCCACATACAGCAACTAGAAGGATGTGCAACTATGATGTGCAACTATCTACTGGGGCTTTGGGGGAAAAAAAAAGGAGGAGGATTGGCAATAGATGCTAGCTCAGGGCTGATCTTCCTCACAAAAAAAACAAAAAGAATGTAAGTTGTTTCCAAATGCATTAGAGCTTTAGTTAATCAGTTTTTCTCCTGATTGATCTAAAAAAGGTGGATATTCACATCATTTTCTGCCTTCTAGTGGAAGTAAAGTATAATAATTGGCTGGAGAAAGACAAAAAAATGTCTATCAATTGTCCCAAATCATTGTGGAGTTTCAGGAATAGAGAGAACCACATCTTCTTGCAAGACAATGCTGTTCTGCTTTGTACTTGTTTTAAGACCATTGCTTAACCTCCCTGACCTCATTGTTTTCATTTGTAAAATTGTATATAGAGAATGCAAGTCTTAGGTAGCTCTCAAGGTATTTCAAAGGATCAGATTTTCTGTGTATATGTGTATGTGTGTGTATGGATCAGAATATATACAAGCCTAACATATACCGTTAGTATATACAGTGTATGTGGTATTACCTTGGACTAAAAAGAGGTCTCTTATTTTGCCTTTAGTATATGTATAAAAAAACTAGTTTGTTGCTATCACTAGACTATGAACTCTCTAAAGGGCAAGGACTTTTGTCTTACTCACGCTTATATCCCCAGCACTTAGCAGTAGTCCCTAGCTCATATTAGGTGTTCCATAAATCTTTGTTGAATTTATGTCAGTGAATGTGTATATATTCCTAAATATTCCTGAAGAATGTTAAAATTGCCCCTCAGCTTTCCTTTCTTTAGTCTGAATATAGCATCTTTTTTTGTTATGTTAGATTTTTTTTTTCAAGGACAGTTTTCCCATTTTGTTTTCTACAGCTATCTACAACAGGAATGAAATTTAATAATTTCTAAAAGACTGTGCTTGTATTCCAGACTATATTCTAGATCAATATATTTATACTTTCCATTGCTCTTTATTCCTTTCTGTAGTACCATGCTTCTGTCTGGGATTAATTTCCTTCAGCCTGAAGAATTTTTAGTATTTCTTATAGTGCAGGTCTGCTGGCAATGAATTCTCTCAGCTTTTATCTTCATTTTATATTCATTTTTGAAGGGTATTTTTGCTGGGGTTAGAATTCTAGGTTGGCAGGGACATTTTCTTTCTTTCTTTAATAATATCATTCTGTTGTTTTTCTGATGTCGGCTCTCATTCTTCATGCTGCTCCTTTGGAGGTAATGTGGCTTTTATTCTTTAGCAGATTTTGGGATTTTTCTCTTTGACTATGGTTTTCAGCAGTTTCCTTTTGATGTGCCTAGTGTATTGTCTTTGTATTTATATATACCTGGTGTTTATTGAGCTTCTTGAAATTGTGAGTTGATGCCTTTCAACTCACATAGTTTTGGAAAATTCTAGGCCATTATCTCTTCAAATATTGCTTCTGCCTTATTCAGTTTTTCCTTTTGGCCATATGACTATGTACCACATATCTCTTATGCTCTGTTCTGGATTTCTTAAAATTCTTTTTCTCTCATTGTGTGTCAGTAGAATGTTTTTCTAACAATATGTTTTTCAGTTTGGTTCACTTTTGCTTCTGCTGTATCTAGACTGCTGTTAAATCCATCTAATGACTTTTTTTTTTTTTTTTTTTCCAGGATGACTTTGGAGTTTATTTTTTTTATTTTATTTTATTTTTTTTAATTTTTTGTTTATTGCAGTAACATTGGTTTATAACATTGTACATCTAATGACTTTTTTAATTTCAGGTATCATATTTTCAGAAACAAAATATCCATTTGTTTCTTTTTATAGATTCCAGTATTCTGTTGAAATTCTCCATCTTTTTCATCTGTTTTGTCTATCTTTTCCTCTTATTTTCTTGAACATATTAGTCATAGTAAGTTTTTAAATTCTGTCTAAATAACACCAATATCCAAATTACTTTGGGTCTGTTTCTTTGGTGTTTTATTTTCCTTAGTTTTTAGTCACTTTTACGTTTTTTCACATACCTCATAATTTTTTTAATGGATGTTGGACATTGTCAGTGAACAATTATAAAGGCTTTGGATGCTTTCTTTCTCCAAAGAAAGTTGTTTTCTTCTAGCAGGTAGAGTATTGGGCAGATCACCTTGATCCTGTCAAGGCTTGGCTTGAGGCATTGTTAAGGCTGATCTGTGTCAGCTTTACACTTACTCCTGGGGCATGGCCCTTACCTGTAGGATATGGCCCTTCTGGGTTCTTAAGTGAAAGCCTAGGTTGTTACTAAGGCTCCTTGACCTTTTGGAGGTTTGAACTCCAGCAACTCTCCCCAGGACTTTGTGTCTGATAAAATTTCAGCTCAGTTCTTAAATCTCCCAGCTGCTGTTTTTTGCTGATCTCTTGGAGTCTCGTCCTGTTCATGCACAGCTTAGGACATGGCCAGTGACTTGAGGAGAATTTGTAGGCAGATTTTAGGGGGGCTTTTTTGGTCTGCAATTCCCTCATCTCTGGGATTTTGCCTTTCAAGTCCCAGCTATTTTGGTAGCCCTGAATGCTAACCTCTGTCTCTTTGGCTTAGTCAAAGAGCCATTTTCTGGTTGGGCTCAATTCCCCCATGCTGGCATTTGGAAAGTGGTCTTGGTAAAAGAGCCATAGCTTGTAACCTCTCAAGTTCTGCTTGTGTTGGTTATTCTCCAGTGCCTTCAAACAGTTTTTTTCCATAAATATTGTCTAGCTTTTTTATGTAGCTGTTTTCTATGGGAAGATTAGTCTAGTACAAGCTGCTCTATCATGGCAGGATTCACAAGTCCTGCATCTAGGTTTTTGTTTTTATAAGCATTATTTGATAAACTTTAAATAATTTTTTTCTCTCTTTTTTCTTTTTCCTTCAGATTTTTATACTGCTTAGGAGTTATGTTACCCTGCGTAAATATGCAGGGCATTTTTCAGAACTGACCCATATCGTAAGATGTCTTTAGCAAAGTAAAAATCTTTTGGTCATATATTCTGTTATAACATATATTATAAACTTGTTACTTACATTTGAACCAAAAGCATGAATAATAAAATTAGAGTTGTTTCTTTTAGCTTATTCAATAAAAACATAACTGATGATATGTAAAGTATATAAACTCCTGAAAGTGTTGTTTCCTAACCTATTAACTGTTTTTGTATCAAATATATACTCTTAACATTATGGATGTTTGCAGGTCTCGACACAGGCGATTTTCTTACAGCCAGTCTAAATCTCGCTCCAAATCACTACCAAGGCGTTCTACCTCAGCAAGGCAATCAAGAACTCCAAGAAGGAATTCTGGTTCTAGAGGACGGTCAAGGTCCAAGTCCTTACAAAAAAGGTCCAAGTCAATAGGAAAATCACAATCAAGTTCACCTCAAAAGCAGACTAGCTCAGGAGCAAAATCAAGATCACATGGAAGACATTCTGACTCCATAGCAAGATCCCCATGTAAATCTCCCAAAGGGTATACCAATTCTGAAACTAAAGCACAAACAGCAAAACACTCTCATTTTCGATCACATTCCAGGTCTCGGAGTTATCGTCATAAAAACAGTTGGTGAACGGCAACAGAAGAGCGCTACATAGTCTCTAATATAAGTTATTAAACCTCTCATTATGTTAAATAAAAATTCTTCAAGGCTTACAGAAAACATGAGTTCATATTAGTTACTTTGGGCATGTGCAAGAAATAAAATCTCTCTAGCTTTGGATTAATAAAGATTTGATCTCAATTTAAGGGCCCCACACCACAAATTATGATGTGTCTAATATCACCATTTTATGGACCATTTTTTGTTTACATTGTTGCAGAAGGGTACTTTTCAAAGGAAATGGGTAAAATGGAACTAATTTAGAAAATTCTACTTGGATATTAAGTATTAGGAATATTAATAATACCTTTTACAAAAATGTATTTTACTTTAAAGCACTTTACTTTCATGTAAAAAGTAATTATGACTGTATAATTGCATAGGGCAGACTCAAACTATTTGACACCTTATGTCTCTTTTTTGTCTTCTGTTTAAACTTGGACCAGTTCCCGATATTAGTTCATATTACAAAATTCTGACATTCCTAAAAGTAGAGAGATCAAGCATTCAAAAGATACATTCTGTCCTGAGCTCAAAAAAGGTTTTATTTTTATTGGGTGGAACAGTATGGATAAGTTGACATTAAATTGCGTCCTGTACCATGTTCATTCACTTCAGAGTATCAAAACGTTTTAAAAATATTGAATTTTGAATTGTTCAAGAATACGCTAAAAATTGTGTGCAACACTCACAATCCATAAATATTCATATTAAGCCTTACACATTTGAAGAGTGGTACATTTTGTATAAAAATCATATTTTATACCATTATTTCTACATACCTACCTTTCATCTACTGCTTAATTTTTTCTTTTTAGAGCTCTAGCTCAAGACTTTAAATTGTATAGAATAAGTCTTATTATTTTTGAAAGAGTGTTTAGCACCTTGTATTAAGAAACTCGAGACTACATCCTCAAGAAACAACTTTGCAGTATTCAGATTTACCTTACACTGCCCTTCATTTTTTTTTAAACCAAATAGCTTTATTGATATTTATTGCTTTTGTAGTTGTTATAACTGAGAATTAAAAATGTGTTTGTAGTTTATGTTTTTCAGAGGGTTTTGGTAGTATTTGTGATAAAATGGTTTTGCATATGATTATGATAGGGGATATATTTATAGAGCTCTACTTGTGTACCTTGTTGAATTATACTGAAAATTAAAAGTTCTCAGCCCATATAGTTAACATTTGTATCTAGAGTGCTTAAGAAAAAAATGTCTTATATGTTTAGCTTATAGGAGCCAGTGTTGCTTCTATTTGTTTCAAATACAAATTCCATTTTTCTTTGCATTTTAGATCGTATGTGTAAGAAACAACTTTGCAGAATAATTTATATGCTGGTAATATTTGGACAAGTACCATAATTTCATGTATACTGTACTTTCTGAATTGACTTTTCTCTATTTAATCATAGCAAAATTTATTTCAAAACTACAACTCTTTGAAGTGTTCAGCTGTAATAAAATTTAGTTATAAAGTTATGTGGGACTATTGAAAATTTAAAGGATAGTCCAAAGAAAGCAAGACACATTAATCATAATTTTTAATATTTTCTGAATAAATGTTTGGGTTTACACACACATACATGCAGTCATTCCAGTACTAAGTAGGAATTGGGTATAGTGTCTTTACTCTGCATTTAATCCTTATATCTTAGAAAAAGCTAATAAGGCAAAGTTTCTGAACATGCTTAATCCTTTGATTTACTGCTGATTTGGTTTTCCATTGTAATCCCTAGGCTGCTTAGGAGGATACTAATGGCTTTGATGGAAGAACTGGAATGATAATACAAATTTTTTGAGCATTTACTGTGTGCTTGGCACTGCTCTATAAGTTTTACATTATTCACTCATCTGTTTGATCATCACAACAATTTTGTGAGGTAAATACCACTGCAGTGGAGGAAAGAGAGATGCAGAGAGGTTAAATGACATGCAGAAGGTCACACACTTTGGAGCTAGGGGGTGGCTGGGCTCCAGACTGCCTCTCCCTGACTACTGTGCTCTGTCTTTTTGGAAGAGAAAAGTCTTTGACAGATATATGCTAAACCAAGGTAATGTTTGGAGGGAAAGGAGAAAATAGAAAAAGAAATGATGATAGGCTTCAATGAAAATGGGTTCAGTGACTCTGGGTGGAAATTGATTGGCAGTTGTGCTGGTATCCTGGAAAATTATCTTTTGGGTATATCTCTATTCTAGGGTTCTCTTTTGTTATAGAATTGTTTCTTGGACCATTTAATAAGAGAGGATACTTAGGGTAAGGTAGTCTGTTAATAAAGAAAGCAAATGTTTTAGACATCGCTGATCATTTCCTTTAAAGATAATGTATTTACTCAGGTACTTCCCAAGTTTAGTGTAGGGTGGTTACCTATCTTGATTTGTTCAGGATTATAGAGGATAAGTTAATGTCAAAGGAAATAAAGATGGCCACTACAACTGCTTGTTTTCCTTTTACTTGTGAATAATACACAAATAATTTCTGTATAGCAGCTGATATTTTGCAGCTGCAAACTATAATGAAGGAATACGCTCAATTTTTTATTTGAAGCCTTGGATTTAGTCTTGTACCACTGGGCTAATTTATTTTTAAATGTAAATTATTAACTAATTTCAAGACTTGATATATTATTGGTAGTGTTTACTTGAGATACAACTATTCTAAGCATACTATTGTATTACAAATAAATAAGAATTTCTGCCTTTATTCTAATCCCACTGCAAGAGGCAAAATTCATCGAAGTTTAAAGGAAGAAGTATTTAGAAATACTCTTTTAATTTTTCTAAACTATTATTAAAGTTGTAATTTCTTGTTTAGAGTTAAATTTGTTTTCTAAACAGGGTGGTATAGCGGTCTGGTGGAGAGGATCTTGGCATAATGGAACCAAAGCTTCACGTTTAGGCCTTGTAGATTTTCAAACAAGTTCATGACTCCCAAGAGTTTTAAGGACCAGTGGTTCAGTGAGACATAGGGGTTTTGGAATCAGAACTTATATATTTGATTAGAAACCATTTTCAAGTGTTAAATGAGGATTGTGCACCTTAGCATCTAAATCACTCCCTTGATGAAAATAGGGTATTTAGGATCATAGCATTAACTCTGGCATTGGTCTACCAGGTTGATTTAGGCCCTCTGGAAAATTTATATCTTGAACACCTTTAAAAAGATATTCACAGGGGCCGGCCCAGTGGTGTAGTGGTTAAGTTCGAGTTTGCGCGCTCCGCTTCAGTGGCCCATGGTTCACAGATTTGGAACCCCGGGCCTGGACCTATGGACCACTTACCAAGCCATGCTGTGGCAGGTGTCCCACATATAATAGAGGAAGGTTGGCATGGATGTTGGCCCAGGGCCAATCTTCCTCATCAAAAAAAAAATGTTCATAAAATTAAGTATAAAGATAATTCCGTCAAAACCCTTTTTTAGAAATATAATATTCCCTGATAGAAGTGCTAGATATTCCAGGTTGATTTCACTTCTCTCAAGTTAAAACAGTACATTACAATAATGACAAATAGCATTTCTTTAAAGGAATCATGAAAAAAGATTGAATAAAATAATGTACATAGACTTCTATACCCCATCAGTAGTATTTTCCAAAACAAATGGTATTATAATGTTTTTATTCTCTTGGGGAAATGATTATATGATTAGTCTTGAATCTTATATTCTAGGAATATACTACAACTGAACTATGAAAAGAAATAGTATCAACTTGTAGAGGTAGATGGTTGCTCAGTGGGTTAATGGTTACCATTTTTTAAAAGTACTGTGTGATTTTAAGTATGTGTTTGGTTCACATAATTCAAAACACCAACTCTGTTAGTTTATAAACTAGTAAATAGATCACAAATTAAAATCAAGAATATCTTGCTATATGTCAAGTTTCAGGCTCTTTCAGAATGCTCATAGAAAATTTAAAGGGTCAGTCTCTTCAGATGAGAGAATGCCTAGCCAGCTATCAGTACTCAAGTCCTAGAAATGGATTGATTGCATGTTCCTGTTTGATCTTATTTGTGTTACAGCTTGTGTAGGATGAGTAGTTCCTCAGAAAAAGTGTAAAATTGAATTAATTGAAGTAAAATTGCTACTTCTCTAATTTAGGAGTATAATTCTGTTAACTAAATGTCTAAGTACTATATGCTTTTTAGAAATGGCTTCATGGAGGTAAACTGAGGAAAACCAGAATCCTTTGCTATGATCACCTGTTTTCTAAAGAAATAACTACATTCCAGTTTTCTTAGCTTACTCCTAAAAATATTGACTTAAAATGCTGTTAAATTGACTTTAATTTCAACAAAAATCTCAGTATAAAATAGTCTTCAAAGCCCCAAGTGATAGCCAATTTCTTTTAATAGTAAGAAAAACTGAATTGATTTGGGCAGGGAGAGGGGGTTAAGAACCGCTCCTATTACATTTGTAAGGCAGTATCTGCTTTGTAGTAATATTTTACACCTTGAGAAAAAGTATTCTGTTGAAGACCTTTTCGAAACTGACAAGCTATGTAACTGTTCAAACTCTGGGCAATCTTACATTTTAAAAAGGAGAAGGAATGTTATTTAAATTTATTTTAACACATTGTGAAATATATAATTTCATAAGAACCTTAGAGAAAAGCATTAACATTCATCATTGTCAGTAAACCTTAACATTTTGGCCTTAAAATGTTAAATGTAGCTAAATTAGAAATACTTATGTTCTAGTTTTGTTTATATTCATCACAATTTTTAATATATATAAGGTCTAACCATTTTTGGTCATTTTTTATACTTTATAATTCCCTACTCATCATATAATCTACTAATGGGGTTTTTTCAAAAATACTACTTAAAAACATGATGGATGAAAAATTTTTATTCTAAAATATCTCATATGAAAAGCACTTTGTACAGAGCTCTGAGCTGCCTGTCACTAGTCACATATAACTGATACGCTTTAAGAGGTTTTGGTGACCACAATTTGTCCACCGTTTATTTGTTTTGACTAAGATGTTTATATGACTGTCTGTCATGGAAAGTGGAACTACGTGACTTAAGGAATAATTTTAAATGCTTTTAGCTTTCACTTAGCTCCACTGGTATTAATTCAACATTTAAAGGCTTTAAAGGATAGGAGCCCACTGTTAAGAACTGCACACTGCCTTGCCCTTCTACTCCCTAGTCACTTCAGTGCTAATCAGCCCTTGAGCTGTCGCCTTTCTTTTGAGACTCGCATACACATATTTTCTTGCACTCCTTGACGTTCAAGTTACTCCACTTTAGATAATTTCTTTAACTTTCCTCTCAAGTCATGGGCAGTTATTGTAAATACCCTTCAGAATCTTTATAGTCTCCACCTACCTCTTTATCCTCCCCTAATTAAAGCTTCTTCAAGCATTAACATTTATGTCAACGTTAACATCAAATGTCAACTCGCACATTTCCCAAATAAGCCAATGCTTAAATACATTATCCTTTCTCTGTTTCAGTTCTTATTTACAATGGCTTTGGTGGTTCAGTCATTGACTAGAGTTGTTCTCTTGTTTTAGAACTGTTAATAATTGGGGCCAGCCCCGTGGCTTAACGGTTAAGTGCGCGAGCTCCACTGCTGGCGGCCCGGGTTCAGATCCCGGGTACACACTGATGCACCACTTGTCAGGCTATGCTGTGGC